CACGTCAAAGTGCATGCGGCTGGTTTTATTGTTCACCTGAAAGTGAAATGTCAGGGTTTGAACAGTCAGAGGGCCATTATAAGAAGTATGCCAGCCACCAGCTTAAAAAAAAATGTCTTAAAAGCATTTGAGGTTCTGTCCTTGAATGCCTTTTTGCTTTTATCTCAGAGGTTGGCACGCTTACAGGTGAGACTGTGTGAAACTCAGGAGTGTGGGCTGGCCCCAGCCCTGCCCACAGGAAGTTTGCTTCTCTTGGATTAGCTCAGAAGGGAAGGTCCTGTGTTAGGGTGATTGGTGATGCGCTCCTGGGGCTATGACATTGAAGGTCAAAGGAAGTGATCAGAGAGGCTGATGAAAGATTTCTGGGCTGTTCCTGGTCCAAAAACAATACATGGAGTTGGAACAAAAAGTTTTGAGGGAAGTGATCTGATGGATGTTGGAAAAAGATGTGCCTACGAGGGGTCCCTGTCAGCTATTTCAAATGATTCTATTTCAACAACCTACACTGAGGTCATTTTGTCTGGACTGATCACTTCTGTTTTCTGCTCATCCCATCTACAAAGCTCTTCCCTGAGAGGAGAAACTGGGCATCCTCCCCAGTGAGGTGGGCCCCGGGGATGGTGAGCCAAAGGTGACTGGGCTTTTCTCCTGTGATGATCAGGCAGGTCATAGACTGGGCAGGGTGGGACTCTCACAGGGTGGTATCAATGAATGGATGGCACAGAGACTAATTCCTTGATACCTCTCTCTGTTTGTGAAACTTTGGTTGCTCCTGTGATTTTCAGTCTTTAGGACTGGACTAAACCAAACCCACTGCCACTGAGTTAATCCCAACTCATAGTAACCCTATAGGACAGAATATAACTGCCTCATAGGGTTTCCAAGGCTGAAAAAGCAGACTGCCTCATCTTTCTTCTGCAGAGTGGCTGGTAGGTTTGAACCACTGACTTTTTTGGTTAGCAGGTGAATGCCTTAGCCCAGAGCTTACCAGGCTAGAACTAAAGCACACCCATTTAGTAAGGGTTTTTGACCATCTACTATCCTGGGAATATCAGGATGAATTAGCTGGGGTCCTAGCTTTTCAAGGGACT